TTGTAGATCATGTGTAGCATGTTATGGAGGGACCTCGAGCGTTGAACGTGCTGAATCTCAATCGCCTCTAATCGAGTAATGGCAGAGGTGTTATCGGTTTTATCCAAACGATCATGTACAAGTGTTGGCATTAATCGTTGAGGAATCTATCAATTAGTTGCTATCTATAACCGTTCCCAACAGTAATTGCTGGATGGTGCGGTTCATATTTTTTCATAGATCCGTGGGTGGTGACAGTACACAACTTATATCTGTCTCACTTTTCATAGTCTGATTATGCCCTTACTTATATCACGATATGTGTCACCATAACTTTTCGATGCTCGTATGGTAGGGCAATATTCTTAGTGCAGCATTCCTAGCGCCGTCATTTTCATGATCATCTACTAGTCTCGCTGCAAATCCGAAGGTACGCGGGTATAGACTGCGTTTCGATGGTGTTAGTATAAGTAGAGAATCAATCGTTTCATTATCTACATATTACCGCTATTATCACTCTAGTCTGATGACCCCTTTTTCGCCCTATATTATCCGTGCTGTCTCATCATCCATGTGCGTTGTGTTGTAAATCTTTTCAGTGATGTGAATCGGTTTTTGGGCGTTCCTACTTCCCGTTACTTCTGTCGTTGTCTTTTGATGCGAGCGGCTGAGTCTCGGAGGGTAACTGATGCCCCGTCACAGTACTCGAACGAGGAGGCTATGTTGATCGAGAGCCTCAGGAAGCAGGTATGTGTCGATGTTGGTCAAACGCATGTCTTTTGGGTAGGTGCAATTACTTTCCTTAGAGAACTCACTATTGTTGAAGAAGGCGGAGGTCACCGTAGCTCCTCGGGTAGAGCCTGAGCAAAGCCATCAGGCAGCGCAGTCAGTTGGAGTGTGTCGAGAGGCAGCAACTGAGGGCTTGGAGGCTTCGAAACGAGAGATAAGTGAACTAAAGAAAGTTCTGGCTGAGGAACGAACAGGAATGGCAGAGTTGAGGAAGAAACTTGACAAGCAGAGAATTGAAAGTATGAATCCACGCTCGACTGTGGTCGGATTTGTATCTTGAGAGCAGTGTTACTGTCCGGTCTCGAAGACCTTCTGAGAGTAGTTGTTGTACCTCCGAGTGTTGACGAATTCAACAGAGGAGTGCTGAGGGGTTCATTGCCAGAATTCGCCCTAGTTCGGTTACTTCAGCTTGATGTTGTTGTTAGGTGAGAAATCGGTGGCAGAGCTAAATTTAGATGCCCAAAGCAGAATAGAGAAGTTGGCTAAGGAATTAGAGTGCACCAAAAAGCAACTGAAGATGGCAGATGAGGAAGCGGACACTATCTGGGCTGAGAGGGTCCATTCTGAGAGGCGCCTCAGGGATATCATAGAGCAGGGAGACGGTGAATTGCACAAGTGATATGTCGAATTTGAGGGGTCCTCGTATATCGCGAGATGCACAGGTTGATGGCTGAGATCTCATCTTGTCGAGTCCTATTGGATGAACGTGAGAAGGCTCTGCAATTGATGGAGACTCGTGTAGGTCGGCCAGGCTCCATTTTGTTGCAGCCAGCTCATCGACTCATCTATGAAACATACGACTATCCGGGTCTTAGAGTCTCGAACGCGGTTTTGGTGTTAGCAGACATACATATAGCGGCGACCCTAACTCTGCAGCGATTTGTGTGTACCGGCTCGACTCGTCAGTGTATGACTCGTGTGTTGGCTTATAGCGAAATAGGACACGAAACGGATGGTCCGTTGGGGACTTTCTGAATTGGTCGAAACTGTGATGACGTGAAAGCCAGCAGCCCTTACCAAAACTGATAATCCAATAAATGCATATAGGTAGCTGCCCGGGATGTAGTCAGGCATGATGAAACGACACTTGAACGTCGAGCAAGAGAGCTCGATGAAGAGTGTGAGAATCTGAGGCGCATCTGCGATGTTGAAAGGGAGGGAAGAGTGGCGGCAGAAGGGAGGCTCGAAGCGGCGGAAAAGTAGGTGCATAAAAGTGCTCACGAGAGTGACCGCGCGCCACTGAATTGGCACTGCCAGGGAGGTGACCACCTTGCATAAGGAGTGTGAGAAACTCCGAGGAGAGACCGAGCAGTTACCGACAGTAACGGCGAAGCTCGCTGAGTGTAGGAAGGAGCTGGAACGGACTGTAGCGGAGAAGGTAGGCTTTCTGGCATCAAGTGCTGGCCTGCACGTTGGACATATGGCCAACATGGGAATATGGGCGTGAATGCTCTTGAGGGATTCGCATATCTCGTATAGTCGATCCCTCGATAATCATCTAGTCATCGCAGTCAGGCGGAGCAGATGTCTCGAGGAGATCGCGAGTGTTGTAATAGACAAGCAGCTGAAAAAGAGTGAAAAAGTTGAGGGAGGAAATGGACGAGTTCCTCGTGAAAATGCGGTCGGAGAAGGAATGTGTAAGGGAGGCTGATGGACAGACATGTCGTCCATTAGTGACGATATCCCCAGCAGCGATGGACGAATTCGATACCTGGGAATCCTCTCTGCGCCCAGCGTTTCTCGTGGATAGTTCTATGGCGCTCCTGTTTTGGGTGATTATGGCAAGTGCATGATATATTCAAAGACGCAGATGCAAGTCGAAACTCTAAAGCGAGAAGTGAAGGAGGCGAGAACGTTGCTGCTGGAAGAGCAAGGAGAGGCAGCCAAGTCAAGGGATGAGGTAGGGCTTGGGCAGCCCAGTGGTGGTCAGCCGCAGCAGCAGGCATCAGGTGTGTCGTCTGAGAGCTGAGCTGGACTTGATGAAGACGTCGCAGTTGGATAGGGTAGTGCAAGAGAATGATCGATTGAAGCGACGGAATGCCGAAGCACAGCAGCTTCTGGACACAGCACATGATGAAGCTCTGAAGTACGGCAACAGCGGTGGCGGCTATGAGATTAGCACGTCCTTCTGGGCATCGTATAGGTTTCGGAAGGAGGCTGGTGACGCTGAGTTGTTGAGGAAGGAGAAATCCCTGGCAGTGGAGGAGCTAGAGCGGTTGAAGCAAACATACAGCGAGGACAGGGAGCGGCATGCAGAGGAGGTGGCGACTTTCAAGACAACCGTTGAAACACAACGACTACGGTTGAAGCGTTTGGAAAGCTTACACAACGAGATAGAGAGAATTGACGTAGTGCGCCTCTGCGATCGATAGCTCTATCGAGCTCTGGCTGAGCTTAGTTACGCGGTGGCCTCTCAGCATTGCAAGCTCTTGCCAGGACGGTGAGTGGTGTACGGGAGGATGGGCAAACTGAGTTGTAGTGAACATGCAGGGCCAATCAGTGATGTCCTTCATGCTATTGTGATAGTTGTTGGGTTCAGTTGGCTCATGTTGATCGTGAGTGGTGATGATAGAGGGCCTCTGGTTCTTGCCATGACA